ACAAGATAGTTCTAGAAACGTGGCGTCACGCTGGTCACATGACCTCGCTGACGCAACAATATATATATTTAATGTACTTTCTTTGCTTTTGCTCGAATGTAACCAGGTGGTGAAACAGTCTACGGGCTTACAACGCTGAAATCTGGTGTTCAATTTCCCGGATGGTCCATTGTGGCTTTACTCTAAAATAAACAAACAATCATACACTGTTGTCCGAAATTATTTTCTGCATAACACTTTTATAACCTGCGTTTTTCAGACATTTTTAACTTTCTATAGGGTATCAACGTTCCTGAATATACTACATTACTTTCAGGCTAAGGAACTGTTATCCCAGTGATAACGTAAGAGGGTAGCGTTTCTTCTACTGAATAAGTAAATTACAGCAGATGTATTCGATTAATGTAGATGAGATTATCTCTGTTAAATTATATTTACACATCATTCGCACGTTTATGTCTTATTAAAATTGCTGTATATTTTTGGTGAAATGCTTAAGCCTAATGACAATCCACAGTACTAATAACACGTAGTCAAGCAAAATTTTTCAGGTCATATGTTACACTCTCATTGATTAAATGTTTGTATACAAGCTAGCAATCGAAGTCTGTTCGTGAATAGACATGCACGATATGTTATTATGGAGGTCTTCATTGTTGCACGACGTAAGGTCCCTAGGGTATATTGTTTAAGAAAAATATGCATAATAATCAACCAAGCCTTTTTACAAAAATTCGCGCTAATATTATATAATGCTTACGGGAGTATGATTTAGTTGTGGTGTGATTTCCACTTGTTTTTTAAGAAATTAATTAAAATGTTAATTGAATGTATTAAATAATTAAATATTAAAGTTACATATTTTGTTTGAAGTAAAAAGTTAAGGTACACGTAGAAGTAGACATAATATTACCCATGATGCTATAGTGAAAAACATGACCTTCAAGGAGAGTTGGATTTCGCGGTAAGCATATGAATAGATTTATAAAGTTTTAGAAATTTAATGTAGAAAAATTATAGGATATTTCTTGAAATATCGTGTTAATATATTAAATCATATTTTTAATCTTAGAAGTAGTAGCTGTGATATATTGATAATATTATTAAAACTTTGAGCATAAACGTCTCTGAGAGTAAGTCTCCTTGTTTTGTTTTACTTTAAGTTCTACTCGTGCGCCTGACGCCTGAGGTTAAGCCTGTCTGATCTTTTCAATACATGTACACTGACACTACGAGTAATATCACTTTTATCAGTCAGTAAGCCTAAGTAAAATAATAAACTAAACATATTCCCGATAAAGCTGCTTCTAGACATTATGGCATATAATTATGAAAATTCAAGGTTTAATTATATAATGTAATTTTATTAATAATCGGAAACAAGTATGTTATTTTTGGTTAAAGTTAGGTGTATAAGACATGAATATCAGAAATAAATTATGACTTAAACATTTCATTCCTTTAAATTTAATATTTTGGAACTTGCTCTTGATAATTGTGAATATTATTTGGCCTATATCATGATGAAGTTAACTCTAGGATGCACATAATAAATATTTTTTTCAAGGTTTACTAAATAACCATATACTTTAGGTTTATACTATTAGTATTATTTGTAAAGTTAGTTGATATTCATGATTCTTGTATGCATAAACTCTTCAATACTATTAGTATTACTAGTTAATGTGATTGTGAGGTAATAAAAATAAGATTTTGTATAAAAAGTTATTATAAATAAGTACAATTTTGGTAAAAGTATGTGTTTTACTTTGGGAGTTGTGTAATGTAAAGATAGTTTCATCAGTTTTTTTAGTGTTGAAATGAGAGATGTGGAGTACCAACATTGATAGGAACTTTTAGTAAGCATTTGTAAAAAGGAAGTGTATTGTGGCAAAGATAATACAAATAACATCTGTTTATGTAAGAAGCATGAAAAAAAACCAAATTTGTATTTTCACCATTTGTACTTGTTATATCCGCTGTTTTGACAACTGTTGTATCCCAAGACTACCCAGTCTACATATAGTGGGCCTAATATCAGCTGTTAGTAATCAGGCTTTCCTTGTTATGTCTAACATTCATATTGCAAAGTGCTTGTCTTCTGTTTTTAGCATAAAGTAATCCATCATCTCTTGAAACATTTAGTGGTTTACAGTTTTGGTGGGAATTCATTATTACTCTATGTTTATTACATTGGGATAGTAATTGTGAAAATTTGTTTTTTTTAGGTTGAAAAAAATCTCATTTCCTCATTAGATTATAAGTACAGAGTCTTATGTATGATTTATTGTTTTTTAATCATTCTGCTTTCATTATTTCTTTCATGCATCAGTGTGTGTGTGGTTCAGTTCATCTCTTTCAAGTTAGAATATTAGAATTTATTATGTCTAATCCAGTTTACATTATGTCTTTAATGACATATTGGAAGGTATGTCTGATGCAGTTAATATATTGGAAGTTATTGTGTCCAGTTCAGTTCACCTCATGCCAGTTAATTCTAAAAACTTGTGAAAATAAAAACAATGTATTATAATATGTTATTTCCAGTGCCAGTGAGGCTTTTCTCCCAATACCAGTTCGCATCACATATTGGAGGTTATGTTGAATTCAGTTCTTGTATTAGTTGATGCATTGGAAGATGTTATGTCTAATTCAGTTAACTTTTTGGGCACAGGCTCAGTCCCTGGGACCGACCTCGTAACCATTTTGTGCTTGTTATACTTTTCATGCTATAACGTTTACATTAGTAAGCAAATGTTAATGAAATTTGGCAGTTTATCATTAATCATTACAATGCTTTCATACACAAAATATCAAATTTCTTTTACTAAATC